GGGCCCACAGGCCCCCAGTTGAATAGGCCTGGTGCACGACATTAAGTCATAACACAAGTCAGAACCCTTACAGTCTTACAGAAAACACACACATATTAACAATGTATCGACAAACATGTGAGGAAGCATCCAGTCGGATGTACCTGAATTAACCTGCTCCCCAGAGCTCGTGTCCACTGTTGTGTACTGCTCTAATTTTGCACCGAGCTCCAGCTCCAGCTGCTGCAGACTGTGCTCTTTCAGAGCCCGTTCCACATCCTCAGTAAACTGGATTTGCTCGGCCAGACACAGAACCTACACAGGGAATGGGAAAGTTCCAGACTTTTAAGAATCTTAAGAGGAAGTGACAGAAGCCGTTTCGGAGAATGAGTTACAGCCTCACTACTGAGAAACTACTGGAGTATGGCTTTATGAAATTCAAAATACGCCAGAATTGATCAGAAATAAGTTGCAGCACTCAAATAAATAGCGGTTATTGCTGCTCAGGGCATTTTGCAGCTTAGGTCTATATTAATTAAAACACAAGATGAGTGAAGTGTAAGCTGAACACGACTTGGTGAAGCTTTTCTTTTGACTTTTTAACACGTTATGCTATGCATTTTTTTATGTTTAAAAATAAAAATCTTAGTATGTCTTTCTTTAATTCCTGTGAGTATACCTGATTTCACACAACGTATGAAACTAGAATGTCATTTTTTATTTAATCAGATATACTATTGGGACCTTTTTGTTTGGTGGTGCCTAACCCTACTGTTAATCTGCACTGTTTGTCCTGCCTTTCAGTTGATATCATAACTAATGCAATGTTTACCAATGTATTTAATAACATCCATAAAAACAATATTTGGAGCTTAACCTCAAGATATTTTTATTGTAATTTCTAAAAAAAAATAAATTAAAAATGTAAATAGGCCTGCGTACCTGTGATGGGTAGCGTGAAGGATCCACATTTCCTTTCTTCCCCAGTGACACACACTCATGCAACAGCTGCTTCAGAGTCTCCTTCATTTCCACCGACAGCTCCTTTAACCAAATCTGCAAAGACTTTCTGTTTGAGACTCAAATAACAAAACAAAAAAACAGTATCTGGTAACATCAAATATTCTAAAATCTTGAGACTCAAATAACAAAAAAATGACAATATCTGGTAACATCAAATATTCTAAAATGGAGCAATGATGGAACACCAAACTGTTTTACCTCCACGTTGCTTGAGATGTGAACATGGTTTCTGAGCGGTACTGTTTCTCCCTCCAGAGAACACATAGCCACAATACTGCGGCAGGGCTCATCAAACACAACACTGTGGATACCTACACAGACCGTACATGGAAAGGCTTGGTAAAATCCATGTTTCATTAACGAAAAATAAATGCAATGCTTGACGAAAAAAAAAAAAACTAGATTAGAAGATATTGAGCAAAACACGGAGTTTTCACCAGCAAAAAGTTTCTTCAGGTGTGACTGGATGACTGTTGGGTTTGTCGCCTGTCCGAGGATTTCCAAAAGGTCATCATCTCCTATGAAATAAAACCGCGGGAAGGCAGAGCGCTTCTCCTGCAATAACAACAACAGCACACAAACTCATTAAGAATGAAAAATCACTCGATGAAAAGTCACTCTTAGGTTTTCCTGTCACATGTTTTTTTTTTGTAAGAATCATGGATTTGTTTACCTCCAAAAACTCATTGAGTGACTTCTGGCAGCGCTGCAGTTGATCCAGTATGTTGACAAGAGAGTTTCTGATGCCAGCTCTGGAGCTCAGAGAAACCACTCTGTTGTCCCTTTTAATGTCCAACATGATGGTCCTGTAAATTGTGTTAAAAATGTGTTTGTAATCTGTGTGTAAGACAAAACTGTAGCATATTGTATAAAGGTCTGTTTGATTTTTTTTAAACTTAATATAAGATAAAATAAGTAATCGAAACCAAAACTTGCATTTTTAAAACAAATACATTACAGTTTCACTTAGCCAAGAAAACTGTAAAAATGTGTGTTTGAAAATACAGTCTGAATATGCAGTACCACTGTAATACTGCAGTACCACAACTGGCCAGCAGGGATTGAAATAGACAGACAGACAGGCAGACAGACAGATATATAGATAGCAGTACAGAGTAATGTAAAGTAATGCAGATAGAATAGATGTATTGAACTACAGAAATATTAAAATCACAGTTTTGTCTAATATTATTATTTAGTGTTTATTTTGGAGTCCAGTTGCGGTTTTGTGGCCTTAATTTGGCCCGCGGGGTTGCCAGTTGCCATTCTCACTGACATAAACATAAAGCTAAACATAACTGACATAAAGAGTTACCTGAAATCTTCATCGACTCTTCGGAAGCGTGCCTCCTCTCGGGGCAGCGCCCCTCTCCCAAATATAGGCTCCAGATAAACCCAACGTCTCTGGATGGCGTTCAGACTCAGAAGATACTCATCCAAGTCCGAGAGACGGACCTCCCACAGACTGACCTGGTGGATGTACATGTACATTAAATGACAATTATAAGAAATTAGTTATTATAAGAACAGTAATAAAAACCCTTCAAAATATTTCTCATTAATGACAACAAAAATGGAATGTTCAACAAACAGATTCTGGTTCCTTTGACCTGACCTTGTCTTGAAAGCTGCGATAGTAGGGGGAGTCTTTCAGGGACTGCAGCAGGCAGCGATTATCGCCAACCTGAAAGAGCACAGAGCGATGACAACGCTAATTAATATATCGTTGTTATTATTATGACAAAAACTTCAGACATTGTTACTCATACAAATAACTTGTACAAATGACACTTAACAGACAGTGTTTGTAATGTACTGATCATATGTGGAATGAATTTTTTAATGGCTGCACAAAGTTGAAAAAATTACATACAACCCTTTGGGAACAGCTACAGTAATGAGTTGCATTTTTTGCTGAGTTGAATTCCCATTTATACAAAGCTTTTTATATTATAAGTAATTGTAATTTGCAATAATTTAATAAAATAATTTAAAAAAAAAACATTTTAAACCCCGCACTATTTACTCTACAACGAGAATATTTATAGAATTGTATTTAGTAGAATATAGCATATAGAATTTTGAATACAGTTGTGTTGTATGTTTTCAAATCCACACATAGAATTTTGAATAGAGTTGTGTTGTATGTTTTCAAATCCACAATTCAGAATTCTCCTTAAATTGTTTCTTCGGTTTGTAAATTAGAATGTATTAAATCAACTTTTTTAATCATCGTTTTCATTCGAACTATTATTCTTGTAGCAGCCAAATCAAAAATGAAGTGGTCAAAACATTGCTAATGAAAGTAAATCTAGTTTTGATGATGTGTTGAGTTGCCTTGTTAAATATGTGTCTACCTGGTTGATTATGTCCTTCCAGTCCTTGATGAGTGTTAGAGTCTGACCACTGCTGCTTGAGTACTCAGTCAGAGTGAAGGTGGCCGCAGCCCCCCACAGGTCCAGCTCCCTCAACGCTTCTCTGATGGTCACCTCGGCCTGGGCCCTGCTGTTCAAGTCCTGGGTGGAAGTGAGCACATGTCCAACACAACACAGAGGAAACATTAATATACTGAGAACTGTCTTTCTACAGACTTGACAACATCATAAGCCACTCTCTTAGAATATCTTGTGTGTTACATCAATATTCTCGTGTAATATTTAAATGTATTATTGTGCTTTGTTAAAGGCACACTTTTTTTGGTTGTTTTCTTTTGGCGAAAACAAATAATTCCATTCTCTTCTTGGTAGACTTACAACAGACATAGTTCTTTTATACATAGTACTTTTATTTTGATAATAAATTTCAACATTCTTGGTAGACTTACCATGGACATAAAGTTCAGAGGAACAATGAGAACATATTCACACACAAACACTCAAATATTTATTCTCAATGCTCAACATATACTTTTATTTTGATAATAAATTTCAACTCTAAATAAACAAGGTATAATAACTGGGAATATAAAACGCAGCTGCGGAAGTTTTTCTATCACATCTCTACCATGTGTCAAACTCAAGGCCTGCGGGCCGAATGTGGCCCGCCACATCATTTCATTTTGTGTGATTAGTGTGCTTGTTTTTCACATTCTGGCGATGGTCAATAAATGTTAACCCTGTCTGTACCGCATCTAGACTGCATATGTCAGCTTCCATTAGCCTGCGTACTACCATTACAGACCTTGAGTTCCACAGCCTTTTCTATGATGGTGTCTGCTACGCTCAGGAGATCATTAAAGGTGAGTCTCTCCAACGTCGTCCCTCTTGGGAGACCCAGCAGACGAAACATGTCCAGCCAATGATCCTGGGACAGGTGCTCACCTCGTACATACTTCAGCACCGGGATCGCGTTCTGTACACAAAAGCAGTGAAGCAATTTATTAATGAGCAAATTAATTCAAAAGCATTTTCTCTTTTTTTCATTTTCATCCCTCTATTTATCTTCACCTACACCTCTTTGGCAGCGACAATCTACCTTGTATTTGTCCACTTCAGCTTGTAATTTAACCGACATGGCCGTCGGCTGTTGCAGCTTCCGAAGTCTGTCTTGCCACGAAAACAGAAACTCCTCGAACACATACGTCTTACTCCTTTTTAGAGAGAGAGTGAAAATAACTATCGTAGAGAATGTAAAAATTTTAAAAAGAAATATCAAATGGAGTGACACTTATTTCTGTACCTGAATGTGATCCAGTCTTCCTGAGCTTTCTCCATAAATCCCCGATGCCATTCCTCATAGAGACCCCACATCTGACTGTACTCCTCCATATCTGTCTTTGTTTCTTCTGCAAGGGAGAAGTCCGGAGTTTCCAGGTCAAAGTAACCACAATCTTCACTGAGGACAAAAGAGGAGAACAGTGGAGAGGAGAGAAGACAGACAGAGGAGAGGAGAGGAGAGGAGATGTTCTAATATTATTAGATCAACGCATACTGCATGACATCTAATGAAATGTAACACACGGTTTTCTAATTGCATTTAGTCACTTAACTTTAACTTTCAAAAAAATTATCACCTCAACCGTGTAGAAATACTGAGATCCTGACTCCCATTTTACATATTTACAATTTGGAATTTACAGAAAACTATTTCCTGACAAATAAAACAGAACAAACACATACACTACAAACTTAAAAGACAGAGGATGAGAATATTAAAAACACTAAAAACTTAAAAGACAGAGGATGAGAATATTTCCACATCAAAGAACTTACATTAGTTTGTTGCGAATGAGCTCCAGCTCCTGAAACTCCTGCTGTTTGTCCCTGATGGTCTGGAGACATGTGAGCAGAGCAGCATGATTACCATTCTCCAGCATCTCATCTTTGGGCTTCAGCTGGTCCCAGCGGGCCTTGAACCGCTGCAACTCGGCCATGTAGGAGTCAATACGGCCAGCGGCATTGCTTCTCATGACCTCCACCTGAAGAAGGGGGACGATGGGATTGAAGATATTTTAAAATACTGGAACAAGACGACACGGCGAGACATTTCTCAAGCACAACTATACAACTATAACTGTGTGTCACTCTGAGCTTGATCATGAGCTGATGACTTTCCATGACAAGCTCCAGTTTGTCCCACTTGGCTCTGAGAGAAGACAATGAGTCCAGACCGGCCCCGGCCACGGCTCGCAGCAAGCGGTTCTTCTCCTCAGCGAACTGAAACTGAGGCAAGATCTGCAAACACAAGCCGAAAAAAAAAAATCTGAGCAGATTTTAAATGTACTTAAATTACAATATATTTAACATCTAAAATAATAAATATGCGTTCATTGTGGTTTTGTTCACACGAGTTTCCAGTGAGTTTTTGAGATTTTAGGTCTTTGAAATTAATCAATTTGAAGGCAGACTCCCATGTCCCATTTGTGTCCTGCCTGCTTCCTCACAATGGCACTACGTAACAATAGCGCTTGTAGAAGACTACCACAGTGAATAGACATATTGCATAAAGTATTGGAATATTTTCCCCGTTACATTTTAAGAGTGTCTGAGCACTAAAGGTTAAATAAATCTGATTGCTGATTCATTTGATTTGTTTGATACAATGAAACACTTCAATGCGAGTCTCAAACAAACCTCAGTTTTGCCCTTCAGGATCTGAGTGTATTTGCCACTGGCTGCACCTATCTCCTCCATGCTCTCTGGTCGAATTGACAAGGCCTCCATTGACTCTGACACATAACTGTCTATGGCCTGTGTGTGGCCTGAAAGTTGGGGAACAAAAGCATTGAAGACATAATGAGGTTTTCAATGTTCTGCAAAAGCAAATCCTCAGACTGAAATGTGAATGGGAAGTCTTTTTTTTTTTTTTAACGTCCGTAGATAACTTGTACTGACTTCCTGAGTGACGTGAGCAGCAGATCAAACAGCCTCTGGATCAGATCATCAATGGCGGCTTTCACCGGCTCACAGTTGACAGTAATACAGTCAACCTTCTCGGAACTGACAAAGAAAGAGAAGGTTTTCTGGCTGTACTAGAGTTTTGTGGTTATTGTGGTTTTTGAACTAATGACATTTAAAAGTAGGATATGGGTAGAGGTGTGAACTGAGCAGGGTTCAAACAGAGAAATGTCAAGTATCAATACAACACAAAACAATTGTGGTGACTTTCTGAAAATGAAATTAAAACAGAAATCTAAAGTTTGGGAATTTACAAAAACTTTTAATTTATGAGAAAAAGCTTAATTTTTATGGTTACTACTGCAAACCTGGATTTCATTGGTAACATGTTTTTTTTTAATTTTTTTTACTTAACTAGCTGGGGAAGTTGGATACTAAATTATCAAGATTGGTTGAAAAGGCAGTATCAACCAGGGGTTTATTTCAGCCACTAAAAACTTGAAGATGAATTTCTGCAAGACTATTTCCTGGATTGTGTTTTTAGATTTCCAATTAATTTTAGTGTAACAACTTTTCTGGTAATACATTAGGACAATGGTGTCAAACATACGGGCCGTGGGTCAAAACTGGCGAGCTAGGGAGTTCAATCCGGCCCTGCACAAACACTTCATGTTCATGATGTAGTAAGCAGAATGATGTTTCGTTAAATATGACCATTTTCTAATACTGTATACTTGTACTTGTCTGCATGAAAACAAAGTTTTCAAACAAATGATGTGTCCCCTACTAGTACTCAAACCTGATGTAGTTGTGTGTTGTAAAACGTTTGAGAATAAAGATCTTTGAATCTATACTCCATTTCATAAGGTTTTTTTTTAAATTCTCCACATTGAGCAAGACAAGTTGAGATGAGAGTGGAGTCAAAAACCATGTCTAAATATAGTTCATGTATTTGTCTAACTTTGTGGCCTGTACCTGGGCAGACGT